ACCAAAATTTCGACCTTTTTTATTTTAGTTCAATTCTTGTGATATGTTTTTAATATGAACCAAATAAACATACTATGAAGTTTCAGCTCAATTGAAGCAAGTATCTCCGAGATATTCGCAATTAAAATTTGCTATTTTTTGGCCCTTATCTTCTTAGAGCGGTCGGAAACATTGTCGGAAAAAAACAGCTTGTGACGTCAATGTTGGTCAGGTGAAAAAAAGCGGGAAATTCAAAACAGTTTTTCGAGTCGACTTGGCGCAGAAGTGGTTTGTGTGGCCATAAACCTGGAAATAACAGGCAATTTGTTTTCAAACGTTGCAAGCTGTGGTTACAAACTTCTTATTATTTAACTTTCTCGAAGAATACATCATAGTAAAACGGACTTTAAAGACATTTACTAATTTCCTTGAGTTGTACTGGAAATGTGCGTGCGTGAGTCCGATTTTTTTCAAGATGCATTCACAAAATGTGTTCATATAAGGAAGTTCCTGGATATATAAGGTCCGAAGCTCCATCGTGGACACAAAAATAAAATATCTTTGTATAATAATCTGCCCGAAGAAATTCAAGTTTGCCCACAATGTATTTGAAGTCACTGAACTTTGTCGCACTCGACCTGATATTTTAAAACCAACGCTCGATCGGACACGTGTAGCTTCGCAGATCACTAATATAAACAAAATCCTCAATGTAGAAGTTTTAACGTTGACTGATGTGGGCAGAAAAAGAGTTAATCTTTATCTAGTAAATCTTCCCAAAGATCGGTTTCAAAGGAACCATAGTTTTTTAAACTTGATCGTTTCGAGCAGATAAATTTTGCTTTGTGTTGTCAAGTTGAACATGCATAACACCTGTTAAAAACCTACGCGTAAGTAAGATTTCCTTCAAACAAAATTAAAGTTACATTATTGCAAAAACTTCTTTCCAATTGTGCATAAGATTTAATTACCGATTGAGGTCACTTTGAGGACCATAGACGCCACTTTAAGCTGGCAGAGATGCGACAGGCAAAGAACAATTCCATCATGCATAAAATTCAGCTTAAGTGAACTAAAAAAAGCTACAAAAGGGTTGCAAAACAACAAATTTTCACGAAAAGAACATAAGGCTTAAGGCTCCTATACCTGCTAACAAAGAAGAAGTGACTTTTCTGTAAGGAAACAACCTACCTAAAGAACTTAAAAGCAAAAGATCAGTTGCAAGCTTCGCAGCCAAGCCATGATTTCGACTACTTTGCTAGATTAGCTACTTTTTTTAGTAATAACTGCTCCATGCGAGGGACTTGATTCAAGCAAATTAAACTCAGCAAACTGAATCACTAGAAAATACAGAAAACTGCACATGAGGATTTGTTTTGCTCGCTTCAGTCAAATCCAGCTCCAGCAATTGTTTACGGGCAAAGAGTCGATTGTTTTGGAGTCACTGCCGGCAGTTGTCGTTCTCCGCTACTTCACAGCGAGTGAAAGGAAAATCAGTTGCGTACAGAAAGATAACAAAACTCTGTAATTAAAACTGAAAAAACTAAAGGGAAAAAAACTGTGACTATTTTTACTTGAGCAACAGAAAAATGATCGAAGTAGTCTTTTCTCCTCGAGTAAGCTTGCTGGCCTTCTAAAGTTCCGAGGAAGCATGTGCATGTAAAAAAACTAACCGTAACCGCTAACAACAGAATACAAGTGGGTTTTAATTCAGTCCGGCGAAAGAAGGCCAAGAACTGGACACAAAATCAATTCACAAATCGAATGCACAATTATCAGAAAAATACAAACCTCTTTGGAAATGTTCAAAACGTTTTATTCCTCCTCACACTGACGGATGATCTGTTTTTACTCTAACATTAGTTTTTCTGAATCCAAAGTAATTTTTAAGTGAAGAAAAAACAACAACAACAACAAAAACAAAAAAAAGCCTTTAAAAGGAGCAAACGTTCGCACCTCGTGTATTTCATTCAGTCTCAGTCAGAACTCTCACAGAACGAGACAAAAAAACGCAGGCAATAAGGGATGCGCAGAAGCTTGCGCAGAACGTTTTTCCGCCCTGAAAGATCAACATTGACGTCACGTAGTCTCCAGTCTATCACGCGGCCATTTCAGAAACGTTTTCGTGAAGTCTTCGGAAATGCTCGGATTTTGATCTTTTATCTTTCTATAAAGGCTTGGGAAGAAAAATCTTTACCCAAATCTCACTTAGGATGGTTCTTTTTAGTGTTTGGTGAAGGTAAAGCGACAAAAGAAAATATGTAAATTTTTTGGTTCATTTGACCTTTAAAGATTAAGTTCATGTTTTAAGCCGCTGGTTTCCCGGGCCTGTTTGCTGTTTTCAAAGATGAACTCAGGACAAGAGAATCGCTCAAAGCTTTCTTTCTACAGCCAAAATTATAACTAAATATTCTTCGGAAAGTCTTTTCTTTCTATTTACAGTGAATTAATATCGACTAAAGGCTTTTTAAAGTTCTGTAAGCTTAAGCGTATATCAAACCTCATACTAGGTCAGATCAGTGTCTCAGTCAAATCTTAATACAAACGGGCACAAACTAGCTTCATAAACTGCGCCGCTGGACTTCATGAAATTAGATATAAATACAATAATTACTCAGGCTTACCATATATCGAGATGCAGCTCCTGAAAGCTATCAAGTAAGGCAAGGATCGCTTGAGCCTCTATAATTGTCGCACGCATCCAGCAAGGTGAAAAAACAAAAACGATGCCATCCGAAATCGGATTATCGGCTTTTGACAAGCGACGCATTTCTCAACGAAAAACCCAATAAACAAACCAGCCATGAATAAGAGGACACTCTTGATAGCAGCTGTATTTCATTTTGTACATCAAGTGGAAAAAGACAGTAAAAAACATCACAAGTTGACTCAAAACTCCGTCAGCTTCAGCTGTCAAAGTAAACAACTTTCAACATCCTGCATAAATTTTACGCACGAACTCACCTGTCAAATTTTAAAGTGCTACTACGATCAAATTTGGGAATTTGTTTTTGATTACATATTTCGAAAATGTATGTAAAAGTGACTTACCGTGCCAAGTTTGGAGTCCAAATATGATCTGGAAGTGTGTTTATTTGCACGGCAATTTTCGTAAATGTCTTGCCGCCATTACTCGATTCAAAAAATGACCGGGAGTAGTATTTGAAGGAGTTGGGGCGAGATGTGACGTAGAAAAATCAACGCGACAAAACAAGGTAAACAAACGGGGCTAATTTCGCATGCAGGACGAGATGTTTTTGGAAGCTTTTGGAGGTTCTTTCTTCGCTTTTTTGACTTAAAGCGAAAGTATGCCTGGTAGAAGTTGTGTTGTTCAGGACTGTGGAAACGTAAAGAACGATGAATTCTCCTGATTCGGGCAGTGTTAGATTAAAGTGGAAAAGGTTCGTGTCCATTCATCGGAAGGATTTCTACACAGTAGTGGGAAAATTTGCTGTGTGCTCGGAGCATTTTACAAGGGATTGTTTTACGCTTGCTTTTCCGATGAAAGGCATGAAAAGGAATTTGAAGAAGGGGACGTTTCCAACCATTTGGAAAAAATCCTCCCAAACACTATCAAAGCGGAGTCGACGATCGGTGAGTGAAATTACAATGTATTTGCGCTGTGCTTATCACCAGTATATTTATTTCCCCATTTACCTGTGACATGATTTTTTCTGGCATCGTTGTTCAATATTCGTGTAATGAATGCTCTGACTATTTGGACTTCCCACATTGTTGCATGTGTTTTCATACTTTTCTGCTTTCTTCTCATAGTTATAGTAAAACGGGCATTTGCGCTGAGTGGACGTGAAGTCAATTCCCCAATTCCCAGACCTTTCCACTCAAGCGTAAAATTTAGAAAAAGTGAAGCTACATAGAAATGCGGCTCTCCATTTTTTGAGAGATTATCTTGCTGTTACTTTGAGATTTGACAGTACTCCAAACTTCCCTCCAAGAAATCTTACAGAAAATTAGGAGTTACAAGCGAGTCTTTTAAAACGACCAAAAATGGACTTGGTCTGATTGCTACATTCTATAAGTTCAGTTACTGTTTGCGGTTTTTTTTTCCGTTTGTATTTTAATTCTATTTTCACTGTCTGCAAATGATGCATACATTTTAAGGCAAAGATGCGGTTAAACCTTGCTTCCATTTCTACTTTTGAAAACATCGACATAAAGCTCAAATTTAAACTTGTTTTGAAGGGGAGATATAAAAAATGGTCGTACCTATTTTCATTTTTAGCTACTAAATGAAATTCTGGCTGGTCAAACTACTAATGAGGATACAGAGGAAGAAGGCAATCCTGAAGAAGAGGTGATCTCTTTGAAAGGAAGTTCTGCACCTGAGGAGAGTGCTGACACTATGGGGGCTCCCAATCTCAACCCTGAGGAGTCTCCAGAAGTCGAGGGTGTTCTGAACACAAGTCAGGGTTCTTTGCTTGAGGTAAATCCTGAAAAGGAGGGCTGCATCCCTGAGACTGAGACGGGTGAGATAAGTGTTGATGCTGAGATGGCTTCAGAGGTCCTAGGTACTCCTGGTGATAAGACAACTCTTGAGAGCCAAGGGATTTCCGGCACTGATGAGGTTACTGAGACCATGCAGATCCTGGAGGCTCAGGGAATCGAAAAACTGCAGGATATGGATGAAGTTATGCAGATTGATGAATCATTAACGATTCCTGAACTTGAACAGGTTTCTATGGTAGGCGCATAACTCTAATTAATGTTTATTTGCATCTTTGTATTATCATAACAATGGAAAACTACATGTGCAGTTATTTTACAACAATAATACACAAAAAGTCTAAAGTCTTGTTATTACAGCCTGTATTAATGTTGAAAGTTTGTTTTTTGTAGGATACTCCAACTGGACATGCTGGGAACTGCACAACATGCAAAACCCTGAGGAGTGAGGTGACTCAGTTAGGGGCAAAGTCACAAGACTGACGAGTAAGTTAATCTCCAATCAAGATCAGTGGGTTGAAACCTTTAAGAGCATACAAGAGCCGAAGCAGTTGCTGATGGCGAATGCTGGTGAGTCAACAATAATTATTGATGTTGATGAGTCATATAGGCATAACTGCCTATCTTTATAATTTTATTACATTTTATCAATATTTGATTATTTAATAATAATTAAAATTTTAATGCTAATAGAATTTTTTTAATTCCATTTGTTTAAGCTATTCAAACTGATCCATGGCCAGTAACAAATGAGACAGAGTTAGGGCTAGAGGATGAATCAGAAGATGAGCTGGAAATGCAGGACGACGTATATGAGGAGTTTGAGTGTGATGAAGACCCTAAATGGAGTCCTGAAGAAATCGAAGATGCATATAAAAAACTAAAGGAAGATGATGACTCGGTGAAGACTCATCAGAACCCAAGGTACAAAGATGCAAAATTGATTGCATTTTAACATCTTAGCTCTAAGTATCCTCTGGGAAGTGATTTAGGCCTAAAACTAACTTCCATTATGAGAGGATCTATTTAGAAACAAGAGTACATGTTTGTTTTTTAATTTACTCAGATAAGAATTGCAAAAAAAAAAAAAAGAAAAGAAGAGGCATAGCCAGCCCATAGACTGGAAGTCCCAGGCCTAAAAATGTTTAGTTTGTCCACTCAACCACTTGTAATAAATTATGCACCTGTAGCTTAAGGGCTCAAAGTTGTCATGTGTGCAATCAACAGAATTATTATAAAAAAGTATTTTTCAGGATGTATGTGACAATAAAATCCCAACCCACGATTAGCCAGGTTTACAACAAGTTGAAAAACTGGCAACACCCCGAGAAAAACAATAAAAATGATACTCATTTTTTTTATTGTTATTTTATTATTTCAGATGCTATGATTAAATGAGTATTTCCTTTCAATCATTTTTTACAGGTTGGATCTACAAGGAAAAAACATTCGAGAGGAACCGAAGGGAATTGTTTTCCTTTCCAAACTTCTTCTTTTGTTTCAGTTCTGCCACTTGTGCTTCTTTTCAAAACCCAAACTTTCTGTATCACAGACAGGTACCTTGTTTACCGTAGAAAGTTTCTGCAGAAACTGTAGCCAGACAAAAGTCTGGAAGAGTCAACCAGACCTGCTAGGAAAGTTTCCAGCAGGTAACCTGCTATTAAGTTTTGCAGTGCTCTGTGAGCCGAGTGAAAAGAAAGAAACGATACATTAAAACTTTAATTAAATTCAGGCTGAATTCGATTTAATTTTTATTACTTGTGTACATGAAAATTGGAGTAACATCAGAATTCCCAGCCACTAAACTTGAGTTTAACTGAACGCTAGAAGAACAGGGCTTCACACAGTGGGCAAGTTTGTCATTCAACAAAAAGCGAGTAAGTGGCTGAGAATTCTGAAGTTTGGCCCATAACGGACAAGTATTCACGCAACTACTGTAGGTCCTTCTTGGCCCCGATGGCATACACGACACTCTTCAAGAACAAACAGTGCATTTATTATTCATTTTCTTCATCTTCGAATCCACGATAATGGCCATTTTGACTCGGAAATTGTTTCCTGATTTTATTGTAGGCACAACAGGGCAAGGGGTATCGCCTGGAACTACCAATATAACTCCACAGCAGTCTTGTAAATTGGCGATAGGCCACAGACCTCAGGAATCTATTTAGAGAAATGAGATCACTGTTAATTCAAGGAGGGATTGGATGGAGATAAATAAATACTCCTTTTAAAAATAAGCAGTTGGGGCAATAAAGCCATTTAGAAAATAAAAAATGTGATTCTATGAGATCAGTCCACGGCGATAAGCTTAGATGTATCAATTATTCAATGCTATGTACGGTTCGATCGTTCCGATACAAAGTCACCAATACCCCAACTTACTCATTATCACTTTTGTTGCTTTGCCCACGAACAGTTGTGTACGACTTTCCAGCTCGCGTTTTTAGGCCCAGTGCAGCCACTTCTAATACGTGGCGGTTTAAGCAGACGCTTTCAAACCCTGGATGGAGGGTTATGCATAAGGTCCGGTCTCCAATGGCTTCTTCCATGACCTCTTCGCAGCGATCGATCTCTTTGCAGCAAATGCACTCCTGCGCTTTTGTAACAAGGCTGACAGAGCAGTTCGAGCACGAACACCTGCAAATAATGTGAAAAATTCGTCAAACACAAGAAAAATACGTCTGTATAAAATTATTACTTGTCTGAACTCTTCAATAAAACTATCGCATAAAATCAGGACTACAGTTAATCACATAGCAACGAAATTGTAAACTTAAACAAAACACACAGTCGCGTTCCTCACGCGCACGATTTAACGACGGGTATGTTGAAATTGGAAAATAAAAATATAAATCTACATTCCATGATAATACCATACCATTCATTCGCTGGCACCTCTCCCGAATATCTTCGCTGAAACTGTTGTTCCTCTTCTTCTTCGCGATGAACTCTTTCGTTGTAGTCCGCGGCTTCTTCCTCGGTAGCAAGGGGTTCGCAACTGTCGTCGTACGGCGCAAATTCAGACAATTCCCCCATCACTTCGTCAACTGTAAAACTTTCTAGATCAATTTCAGATGTACAGGAAGAGGAATCCGACGGAGATGACATCTTAAACGTCTTGTTAAAAGGCTCTAAACTCACAAACTTTTCCCAAATGCGAATCTTTTGGTTGATGTTTCTACGTCACAGTGCATAAATCACGTGGTCAAACGCACGACCGCTTTGCGGAGATCTCGCGGGCTATTGCTTTGCGAACTTTGTAATGGCGGACGGTATTTACGCACTTTTCAGTGGGAAATTTCCAGCCCCCGTACGCAAGTATCGTTCCAATTTTTCGCTATTTGTATAATTTTGAACATATACAAAAGATTTATGTTAAAAAAACTCGGAAACAAAAACAAAAATTTTCGTCGTAGTAGCACTTTAACCAATCAGAGCATAAAAATTGGACGTGGAGCGTGACTAACACGTGACCATGATAAGAAAAGGTCTTCCCCGCCTGTATTTTAAAAAAAACTGGCTGAATTTTTGCGTCTGAGGTCAGTTTGAAATCAAAATCGTAATAGTGCGGGGCGATACTAACATAAACACAACATATTTGATATGAATTTTAAAAAAAAGTAAACGTGAGCCTGCAATCATTTGAAAACGAATAAGTTGTCAGCGGATAACTTCAAAAAATACTCGACCTTGATGGGTCGACACCTAAGCCCGCGATACGGTCAGGTTATACTGGTCAGCGGATACCCTGTTTTGACAGCTGTCAATTGATGACAACATTGATGTGCAATCAGCTTCCTCCTAGGCTCCCAAAGTAGCTAGAAAGTGTGAGAGTAAACATTGGTATGCCTGTGGAGCGGACGGACGGTCGCTCGGTCGCTCGGTCGCTCGGTCACGTGATTACCAAATTTTCAGGGATGGGTAGATTACCTTAGGTATGGGGCTCCGCCCACCCGCGCGCGAAGCGCGCGCGTCGAGCTCCGCTATGAATTAGATAGTTATAGAGAGTATCACCCGGATTGGAGTCTTCAAGTGCGTTTACCCTGAAAAGATTAAGGTCATAAATGCTAGAGAGTTTTTCTAGGTATTTTTGGGCCGGCAAATGGGAAGGTAAACAATTATTAAATTGACCATGAGCTAAGTTTACATTTAACCCAAAATATGGGAGCTCACGGAATAAAGATAGAGTATCGCGAGAGTTTTGATCATTAGCACTCATGGATAGAACTAACTCAAGTAGATTATAGTAGATACTTATGGAACTGATAATGTCAGGTCTCTGAGGCAAGTCGCTGTAGACTACCAATATCCGTTATCTTTATTGGTTGGGAAACCTCACTCTTACGTAAATAAATAGTGGAATTCTTGGCCCAGAAGAAGCGGTATTGGTTCTGTTCTTTAAATCTCTTCGCTTCAAACAACAGGTGTTGTTTTTTGGGGGTGAGGTGATCGAAGATTCTAACTCTGTCGAGAGCACCATCAACAGACAGACCGATATTTGATCGGTTTTACATGTAAGATTTCACAGGTAGGGTTACCCTATTACACGGGTCAACTTAACCAGTTTTACTGACTTGTTTCGTCACGCGTGACCACAGAATTAGGACCTCCGCACACTAGACATTTAGTTGTGGACAACTGTTTTCTTTCGACAACTAAAAGTTAAAACTAAAATCAAGGTTCTTTTTCCAGGTTTGGAGCTAGACTCTGGAACGCGTTCCCAACGAATTCTCTAAAGGAGCTTTTAAAAAACATTTTCATGACTTATTGCTCTCGATAACGGAAGCAGAGAATGATTATGTTGAAATGCCCATTCTGCTACAATATATCGCAAATTCTGCAGCCACGACTTGATGCACTAATTATTGATAGCATCTTTTAGTAGTAAATTTGTCTTTTTATTCCATTCTGTAAGACTATTTTTTAACTCTAGCTTGTTTTTCTTTAATTCTTATGCTGTCGATACCGTATTTATTCGATTAAACGCCGCGGCGTTTATCAAATTTTTAGCATTTCCAATTAATGCGGCGTTTATTCAAGGGCGACGTTCATTCGAGGGCGGCGTTTCTTTCGAAGTCACTCTTTTTAAATCAACGACAACAGTTCTTGTAAATCGTTTGTAAATATTAGAGAGCTATATTTATATAAGCAGCAGACTTTTTTGAGGTCACACACGCCGAACGGAAGTCACTTGCGCCAGTGTGAATATACTGCGCATGTGTTTACGTCCGTGAGGTCAGAACGCCACTTTTGAAGTTTAAGATAGAACGCGAGATTCTAGTCCTCGTAAGTTCGCGTTTGAGTAAGATTTATTTCGTAATTTCCGATGTTGTGGTTAAATCGTTGGCCTAAAACCATGGAAAATTCTTCTGCTATTCATTCGGCGTTTTCAGAGATGTAAACATCAGGTAAACAGTCTCTAATTCTATTATTGGACTCTACAGGTTGACTCGGCTAGCTCTAGCTGCCTGCAGAACTAGAAGATGGCAAAATTTCGTAGCTTGAATTTCATCCGATTGCTTCGAGTCGTTTTCTCCTCTCAGCGACGTTACTGAGGGAGTAATAACGACTCGAAGCAATCGGATGAAATTCAGGCTGAAAATTACGAGATTTACGTAAGATTTACTCGATTTCTTGTCCATGCGAATAAAGGAGTTCACGCTCATAGTTGCATCGTGGGTAATCAGGGCAAGATGGCGGGAAATTAGAAGATTTGTATTAGAATTCAAAGCCAGCTAATTCTTCCTGAATTCAAATTTTTCATACATTTTCTGTAATGATTTTTACGCTGTCGAATTACAGAAAATGCATGAAAAAAATCAAGGTTTTCTAAAAACTGATCACGGACTTCTTTACACTAAAGATTTAGTGTATTGTTTCTTTGAACTCGTAAGTTACTCTTTTCAAAGAGAAAGCATCAAATATATGGATTCAAGAAGAAATAGCTGGCTTTGAATTCTAATGCAAATCTTCTAATTTCCCGCCATCTTGCCCTGATTACCCATGATGCAACTATGAGTGTAAACGAATTAACTCCTCTGTCATCATCAAGTGAACACACAGCTTATTGCAGAGGGCTTACCTTCCTGTAACTTTTAACGGCCGATAATTTCGACTGCATGAATAGTTTTTTTTTTATTGTTTACAATGAAAAATATTAAAGGTTTAAATGAAAATGTCATGACTGCTTGTTTTTGTACATCGGCTTGATTATATATATCCTGAAAACGTTTTCTAGCGAGACCCCTGTGATATTTGGCTCAATCAACTTTGAAAATAAATAGCAAACTAAATCTCATTTGTGGTTGATGAAACTGCAAACAAAATGGACCGCTAAACTTCGCTATCATGTATGGTAATTTTTAATCGCTACACGACACACTGGTCTACACAATCAAATAGTACACGACGGCATTTCAAGCTTGGCGAATAAATGTGAAAGATGAAATGTTCATATGAGCATGGGGCAAACAAAATGTACTACTAATCCCTTTCAGTGACAAAGATCTTTCTGAAATTCGAAATGCTACGTCATGAGTGAAGACATTTCAAATAGCTAAAGTAAACACAGACAAGACGTCCATGACTTGCGTTTTGCCAAAAACCATTCATTGCTTACTCTTCGCTTTTCGCGCCACACACGCCCTACTCGATCCAGACCGGGCGCAAACTTCCTGACGTCCGTGACCTCAAGAACGTCGGCTGCTTAAGTTCTCTATTATGTAATTTAAGAGTGGTTGTCAGAGAAAACCGGGCAAACTGTTAAAAATGTCAACGGAAGGGGGTTAACAGAATAAGTTCATACTAACATCATAGATAGGTTAGGTGGAGTAATGGACAAATATAATAAACATAGGTTCTTCACTGCTCTTGTATTGGAGATACGAGCATCACTTTATTCGACCCCTTTGGACGCCATTTTTATAAGCAAATTTTCACCATTTTCTGAAACTCACAGAACCCTCCAAATTTGTATGCGATACAACACATCGTAGAACTACTTTCTAAAACCATCAGAATTGTTAAGTAGCCACGGACAAGACTAAAATTTTCTTATTTCATCTGACCTCAACTCAGTGTCTGCAAACGAGCAAAAAATCGGGCATTTTTGAATTGATCTACAGCGCACAACTAAAACGACAGAACAACTCTGACAGCCAAATTGCAGTCTACTATCATCCATGTAACCAAAACACTAATAATCATTTTGGGCCATTGAAACAGGAAGAAATTAGAAAACTCACATTTGTTATAGTTTCCAAGCTTTTTCTTGCAAACAGGCCGATCCCTTCGTGTTTGCTTTAAGTCCTCTTCGTGAATTTTCTTTCATATTTCACGGTAAAGTATGTTCCAGCAGCTGGAGGAAATATCAAAAAAGCTCGAAATACTGCCTAGGTTACATTTTGAAAGGGCAAAAAGTACTGAAGAATAGGATGAAACTCGAAAATAATAAAGCGGCGCCATCTTGAAAATTCAGCACTCAGGAGGGACTGGCACTAGTAGCTGCCTTGTCATCAAGGTGATGAATCACCAAATAGGTAAAAAACAAAAAAAACAAACAAACAAACCGGCTTATCAGTTACCTACTACAGTCCTTTTTCTTTTTCAATCACTACTTTTAGTTAAATTTAGCTTGCTTTGTGTTGTCGTTTTTTTTGGGGGGGGGGGCGGAGTGATAGGGTGTAGTGAAGGTGACCAATTGGCATTACTTTATTCAGTCTTCATTTACTCTTCATTCACTTCATTTTGAGTTATCCCGTATGAGTCTTTCTTTGGAATCTTTATTGTATCATCTATTTTTGCGTCAGTCTTCAATCACCGTCCATGTCCGAAGGTTCACTCATCTCCTTTTCATGACTCATGATGCACTTTTCATAGTCCGGAAGGCTTCGCCCGAAGGGTACCTTTTTGAAGCATCAGGTGTAACAAAGGGTAGGAAAATCACAAGTTGAAGTATGTGAAAGGAGAGGAAAATCTTTCATTAAGTATTTTAACGGGTCTTTTACTAAAATGCTTCGAAGAAACACGCGTTATGGCAATATCATTTACATGTTAATTCAGTTAAAGGTTACACGAAAATGGCCCGAAGACCTCCTTTTAGGAGAGCAGATATGTGCTTGAATTGTTCACTTTCTGTTAAAAGCATGAAATTTGGCATGGTGACAGTTTTCAAGGCCCTAAAAAAGACAGGATA